TCTCTTCACAGCTTGCCGTCCTCTGCTGTGCCTGATCAGAAGTGGCACTTTCAGCAGCAGTGAGAGGGTCTACAAAACACACACACACACACACACACACACACACACACACACACACACACACACACAATTTAAGTCATTGATGCTTTGCTGATAAGTCATACAGGAATTTACTAGGGTGGTCGGCAGAGCAAAAATCCCCAAACTGACCACACTGTGTCTAAAATGTCAGAATGAACTTCTTGTTGCTTCTTGCTTGACTGCTGGATCCCTGGCAGAGCTCACGCCCGTCTGAGCTGCTGTAAGCCCGTGTTTTGGTGATGTGATGTTGATGGTGAGTGTGAACGAGCGCTGATGTGTGTGGCGTTCGGGAAAGCCTGTCTCCTGGCGCTGCGGCTCCACGTGATTTATTGGAGGAGATGTGCAGGTCCACAAGCATCAACACGAGCAGTGTGACCTCAGTCTGTCTGAAAACTGCGCTGTGTGTGTTGCATAACACCAGCCATGATGCCTGAGTCCATGCAGCACACACACACCTCTTTGGTGTGTGTGTATCTACACTTTTTGTCCCCAAAAGTAGCTAAATATCATTTTGGGCACAACTAGAAGCATTTTCAATTGGAAGTGTGTGTGTGTATGTGTGTAGGCAGACAGACAGACAGACAGACCGATAGACAAACAGAAAGACAGACAGACGGATAGACAGACGGACGGACAGATAGATAGATAGATAGATAGAAACAATTGAGGTCTACGCTATTCATTAGATATTAGAAGTAAACCTATGTGTATTTTGCCAGTATTTCACTTCGTATGTGAATAAATATTTCCACAAGGATAGTAAAATCTGGAATGAGCAACACTGTGTTGAGCAGCCGATGATTCCCATGAGAAAACATCTTAATAAACACATAAATAATGACTTCATGAAAATGCAGAAAGGTTTATGTGAGTGTTAGGGCTAGATGATAGAACATATTAAAATAGCATTAAATTACCATCAGTCTAAAAACCATATTAATCTCTATCATAATTGAAAAGTGTGTGCGTGTGTGTGTGTGTAAATACGTAGTAGATGAGGGAAAGTGCACACTGTTATATGAAGAACAAAATTCTAAATTTTCTTGATTATCTTTGAGATTCGCTGATATTCCTTCCTGCCAATATTTACTTAATTCAAATGACTGGCTGTTTAAACAGCCAGTGTTCATGAGCCAAATTAATATTTGTCAAGCTCTGCCCGACAGAAAGCTCCTATTTTGCAATAGTCTGCACGCTGTTTCCATAATTCATGCTGGTTTTTTTTTAGTATCTCTAATGCTGCTTTTGTGCGAGGCAAATTGAAATGGACGTTAATAACGGGAGTGATCTGAATCATTATCGTTCTCTTATTTTTCCACCCTCAGAACTGATTAAAAAATTAGTGTCCAGACCCAGTTCTGTCTCCACCGCTCTCACTGTTCTCATAAACTGGGTCATGTAAAAAAAGATTAGCCCTCTCTCTTTGCATTCCTTCAACTGGTGGTTCCCTATTTTTTAAGGCAGATGCTCAGGTGTGTAGTATGCAGTGTATCTATACTGTGCATAGTAGGATAATATTTAGCATGCATGGGGTTAAGCATGGAATGGCTTAGTACTAAAGAATACTGTATAGTTTAGGCATTAAAATAAAAGTTTCAGACAGTAGTGTGCGATATTGTGTAGTGTGTTACTGGCTGCATGTAAATTGCATTCGTTTATCATCTCAGAAATAAAAGATTTTCTATTTTTATTCAAATTTTGGGTAAAATTCACTTTTAGCTGTCACAAATAGTGGCTGTAGTAGATCATCTGGGTGGATACAGAAAATATGCAATAACAGGACTTTTTGATGAAATACCTACATGATATCTATCTATCTGTCTGTCCGTCTGTCGGTCTATCTATATCTGTCTGTCTATCTGTCTGTCTGTCTAAATAAATGTGGCTAATTAAGTCTTAACTATATAATTCTAGTTTGATAATTTTTGTAATCTGCACCCTGTATGTTTGATTAACTCGTTGTTGTGTGTCTTTATCACTTGGAAGCCATTTGAAACCCATTTTTGTGCTTGTGGATGAAGACATCGCCAGAGAGTTACACAGAGCTAATTTCCCCTAATAAGTCCCCTAACGTCACCGGCAGTGTGAAGAGTCGAGTGTGTTATTTCCAGGAGAGGATCTCAAACACACTGAAGGTCGACTGATTGATCCGGATCTAAGTATAAACATTGATTAAAAGCGCTGAAAAACTCCGATCTCTTTCCCCACACGCTATCGGAAACCTGGCCTCATTTGTCCTGCTATTGATGCTCCTTCCTCATCCAGGAGTCTGTCTGTCTGTCCATCCATCTGTAGAGCTGAAACCTGAATTACTTTTACACAAACAGTAAGTTTAAAACTATGGCAGTGTTTGAAATGGCATATTATCATACTAATCAGTATGAATACTGTGCATAGTAGGCCTATGCAAATTTTCCGTATGCATGAAAAACACAGATGGTATCCTTTATTGGATCTGCTAAATACAACTCAATACAGCTAAATACAACTGTCCAGAATGGCATCCTACCATGCAACTGCTACTATATTGCAGTATGCAATGTGTAAACTATTAATAAAACGCAAATTTTCTGTATGCATGGAATTACATGAAATCTAATGCATGAGTGAACTATACACACGCTACTGTAAACTACAAACTATTGCTGTGTGTCTGAAAATGCTACTGTTAGTTGCAAGTTAGTTGTACTTTAATCATCTATGACGAGTCTCTGATCAAGTCGAATGAATTCACCATCATCTTTATAGCGCTTTATACAATACAGATTGTTTCAAAGCAGCTGTATAGAGTTCAGTTCTGCTGTAAAACAGTGTCATTGTTCACTTAAAGACAGTTTCAGTGTGGATTCAGTTCCATGCAATATGTAAAGTTAATTAATTATGAAGTTACATTTACCTAATATGTAGGACATGATCATAAATCATAAGAGAATTATTTGTGAGGTTTTGGAAAACCAAGCTATAATTAGTTATTTTTACTTATGTGCAATTGAAGTATTCTATACAGTAAAATATAATTGTTCCCGTAAGGAGCTGTATTGTTACCTGAACCCTTAAGATGAACTAACCACGATAACAAGATAATGATATTTTTGACTTGATACGATTTAATTTTCCACAGTAATTTTCTTTTTAATTTTTAAGAGAAAAACATGATTTAATTTCATGATTTTGCACCAACAAACAGAATTTCTGTGGAGTCAAAAGGAAAGACATTTTCACTCAGTGAAATAGATGGATTGCGTGCTGATGAGTTGAATCAAGGGTGTTCGATTAGTAAAATATTGTAGATATGTACTGTTGTATTTTCTCCAGGAACAGGGTTGGGAAATATTGTCTTATAGATTCACGTTGAGATAAGGGTTTACAGAGCAAATATATGTTTTAAAGTAATATATTTATCCATTTACTCGTCTAATATGGTCAGTCATAGATAGAGGATGACTTAACACAAGTGCAGCACTCTAACAATTTTTTTTTAAATTTATTTATTTTTGTAATATGAGGAACCATAGTGGCACTTCTGACTCACTTGGTGTCCTATGCAAAATAAAACACAAAATACTCTCCATTTAGTGCACAGTTTGTGATGTGTAAATGTGCAATACGTAATCTGCTTTTTAATGTCGTAGATAATGGCTTTTTGATCACAGGCTTCCGTGGTTTCAAGTGTGGTGTTTTTTTCTTTCTTGTAGACACATTTATATGGAAGCTTGTTTCTGCCACAGAATAAAAATAAAAAGGTAGTTGTGACTTTTTATTTCACAGCTGACAGCTCTCGCAGTTTCAGGTTTGTCTCATAATTCTGACTTTTTCCCCTCAGAATTGGGAGATATAAACTTGCAATTGTGAATGATCAAGTTGAGTTGTGTGGGGGG